AATAGTTTCACCTGAACTGTCTAACTTCTGCAAATATTCCCGTGTTTAATTTGAGAAGTTGGTTTAATTACACCCGCCTCCCCCCCTACCACGAGAATCATTTAAACACTACATATAACCGACCGTTTTAGTCCCTGCAACTGTATTGGCCTGATGAAGAATTGCTGAGAACAAGTGTTTGCTAAATCGACTTCGCAGGTTCCACTTGAATTGACTGGTAGTCCGTCTACCGTGAGCAGTGTGAATCACCGCAGTCATGGGGATGCAGCTGCGAAGTGGCGTTAATTGGGTTCCCCTACCTCACGTACTACTCTCCCACGCACACACGGTGTTCCAGTAGCAGGGTAAAGAGTCAGCTAAGGATGACTTGTATGACCGTCTAAACAGGATATGAAAATAGGAACCGAGGAAAATAGGGTTAGGGCTGGGGCTATGGTCGGGATTGTGGTTAGGGCCAGGATTATGCTAATATTTGGGCTGGTGTGAACTGCAGGGTTAGAGTTTAGGGATATTTTTATGCTTCCTGAAATTTATAATAGGACTAGGAGCGGGGCGTTCCCATTCGCGTATCTTGCTAAGGCGGCCATACAAGTTATCCTTATCCCAAAAATAGGAGGTCTAGACATGGGCGTTAACCTAAGGACTGAAAAGGCCATAAATGACCCGCCTACACGTGTCACCTAAGAGGTGCTTTCAAACTCCACGCGCACCAGACCTTACAGATGTGGGCCGAATTATTCCTCAAGTGTTGGTATTATTAGGGTTGAGAGTTTCGAGAGTGACGGAATTGTCCTTGTGAGGAAGGCACAGAATCGCCATTGGGAAGCGTACCTCGGTAAGTGCTTCACATCCGCTTCTCCCTCACATATATCAGTGGTAAGCCAGCGTCTGTCGGCCGACTGTGGATAGTGGCCTGCGCCCCCGTATAAAGCCAAGTGTTCTGCGACAAAATCACCAAGCAGTTCGCATAACTGACCAGGGTGACCACATAATAGCGGACTCAATCGAGTGATGGCTATCATAACGATTTTTGCTCCTGCTGCCACCAGCTCTTTGAATGCTGTAAATAGTGAGTTCGGTGGTGTTTTCGTTGTCATAGCTAGCATTCCCTGTCACCCATTTATAAAACCATCTGTGAAAAACTGTGCACTAAGTGTTCCTTACTGGATTGCTTTTTCTTCTCTTAACACAGGCTACGGCATCATTTGAAATATGAGATCCGAAACTTCGCAGAGGTCAGTACCCTACCGGCTCCGCAAACTGGCCCCATCTGCAAGATGTCCTCTATCCTACCTAGCACTACTACTTATTCCGATTTTGAGTGTTGTTCGTGCGGGTGCTGAGAGGCCGAGGTGTCCGGACGTTTGCCAATGTGTCTCAACCATGATGGACTGCAAGCAAC